TAACACATTAGTTGGTTGAAGGTGGAAGAACTCCTCGACACCAATCTAGCATAAATCTTAGTATTATGTTTGGAATTCATTGTTGTTGTTGACATAATACATCGGTCTTAGAAGTGACAATATGTGTTAACATTATTAAGGATGGCAAGTGATGAAGTCAACAGTTGTTAAGAGTAAACATGTGATAATGATTAAAAGATTGTAAATCGGTGGATCATAATTAGGTGACAGTGGTCGGAGAGTCAATAACAATTAATATAGTATTAAGTCCTCCTCTAATGATCTGAATTAAATCTAGTAAGAATTTACAAAGTTCATTTAATATCTATTAAAATTCTATGAGATTTTAGAATTTATTCTAATGTAAAATATCTATCAAGAACTGTGTGTGGCTTGAATTAAAAAAGATGAAAATATATATGTTAAGTAAAAAATTCTTTGGGAGCACTGCGACACTCTAATTAAGGCGCCGATGCCCTCTTTGTGAGTTGAAAATTGCTTGGGTAAGTTGCAACCCTGTAATGGCAGTGCTGGCTTATCTATATGTTGAGAAGCATTGTAAAGGGGGCACTGTCCTCCCTATTTCTTAGCACAACAGAGTTGTAAATAGGGTGTTGTGGTCCTCGAAAGAAGCACTACAACATCAAGCTCACTATTTTGAGTTATAGAAACTTCCCTTTAGGAGCATTGCAAAGGTGGGGATGATGGCATTGTGATGCTTGGTTAATAAATATCAAGATCCACGTTTTTATTCTTAAAATTTCTTCATTTTCATTCGTCGGGGTCGTCGACTAGAGAGAGGAAGTGGAGTTTGAAGGACATGGAGCCAATTTTGTATGTCAAGCCAATCAAGAAAATTGTTCGCCTCGGTGTAGGTTACCGATACCTTGTCTTAGATTTCAATTTTTAACATGTGTGTGAGTATTTATAGAGTTTTATTTGATTTGGTTGAAACAAATGCAATTTTACTAAGATTTAGAAAGTTTTTATCATATGACTTTTCATATATTGTCGAATATAATATTTTGATCACGTTGATAGAAAACATGTGAATATTCACTAAGTGGTTTGATTTGTACACTATTTTTAAGTATTTATGTATGTTGATATTTCTAAAAAAATTTACAGTACAATAAATACTTCAAAATGATACTATGAGTGTTTCTCATAAATGACTTTTGAATTTTATATACAAGTTTTACCCCATGCACACTACTAAATTTATTGTGCATGTGAAACTTATCATTGTAAATAGCACTCATATAAGTTGAACATATAAAAATATGTTTTGAATATATGTTGCATATATTATGTTTCCTCATGTATTAATATTATTGTTTTTGACATATTCATATTGTTGACACTAGTTGTACTATAATATTCACGTTAATGATAGAGCATTACACAAACATCATGTCACTCTAAATGAAATTATATTGCAATCATATTAGTAACAGAACATTACATAAACACTATATTGTTTTAATTGAAATTGTATAACTTCTTTAGATAATATTTAGCCCTTATGCAATTTATTTTATATGTTGAATAATGAAATTTTTCTAGGTTTCATGTAGCCTACTAAGTAAGTATTTGTGCATCCTATGTTATTTACATATTATTTCAAGAAAGGATAAAGCTCCAACTAAGTAGAAAATAATTGATACTGTTAAAGTCCATACTATATATATTTATGTTCATAGATGCATTTTTGGCAATCCAATTTTCGATGTTTGTTGACATGATGTCAAAGAGAATGTGTGTTGAATTATGGTATATGATTATTTTGATGATATGAATGATTATGTATATGTTTATACTTACTATTGTTTAATTGATATATTTAGATGACTCTGGATGTTGTGATCATTGTTGAGTAAATTATAAATAATAATAATTTTTCTAATTAGATATTGAGGCATGACAGGGTTATAGTTGGGCGAAGGTAGTTGGAGGATCACAGTCGAACGATGGAGATTAGAGGACTATAATTGAGTGATGAATGTTAGAACTATAGTCGGGCGACAAAGGTCGAATGATCATAATTGGCGAGCGACAAAGGTTGAAGGATTGTATTCGGCGGGTGACGAAGGTTGGAAGACCATAATAGGGAAATTGTGGTAGGGAAGACCGTAATCAAGCAACAGTGATCAAAGGACTGTAATTGGTGGGTAAATGTTGTTAGAGGGCTTTAATTTGTGGGTGACATAGGCTGAAAGTACGTGACGTTGATCAGAGGACTCTAATATTTACCCTCCGTCGACACCAACACCAAGTCACCCATGAATGCTATCTCAACCATATAAGGAGAATAATTAAATATACCATCAATTATTTATTGATAGCACGTCTAACATCTCAAAGCTCGTCCTACATCCATCAAGAAAGCCATCTTCTACATTTTATATTATAGCAGCGTATTCTCCACTTACAAAAAAGATATTTTTTACTATTAATAGAGTAGAATGGATAAAATAAATAAATCATATCACGAGTTTTTTGTGCTATTATATTAACTCGAAGATATATTATCAAAAATCAAAATAGATAAATATTTTATAAAAATATTCGATCAAATTCCGTAGAAGAAATGCAGAATCAAAAGTGGACAAGTTCAATTGAATCATGCCATATAAATATTCTGCACGTCAGCTTGTTACCTTTCGGCACTTTTTGGACTTGGAATTTTTGGCACGCAGGCTTATACTTTAGCATTATATCAGCTTAGATTTTTTTTTTTCTTTTTTTATCGTATTAATCACACAAATTATTGATTATATAGAAGGGTACGAATTACATATCTATACTGTTATTATAAGTGATAGTTCATTTTCTTTATTTGAAAATTATCTTGATTCTTCATTTCATTTTAATAATTTTAATATATATAATATTTGAAACATATTTCAAAAGTTGTGCAGCTGTTTAATATTTTTTAGAGCTTTAAGTCTCTCAAAAGAACAATTATTAGGTCCTCTGACCGGACGTAGAGGAACGTCCTATATATATTTTTTTTTTCTTTTTTTTTTTTTACCTAGCATTTTTGTTTATTTCAGAGATATTTACTTTTCTGCAAGAAACACGGGATTATAAAATTTTTTAAAAACATTTATTAGGTATTTTTCTTCAAAATTTTAAATATTTATTATAAATTTTCTTTGATATGTTGTATTTTTTTCTCTGTTATAAATTTTCTTAATGTTTTACAGTAACGTCTCATTTCCAATGTATATATCCACATCAATTTGGTATACATCATTCCAAAGTAGCTTAGTCAATTTTATTTATATATATTTTTTCACCAACACATTTATATAATTTTCTGTCATTTATTAAAATAGCCAAAAAAAAATTAAGATGAGGTTTGACCTATAAACCTAATAACCAAAATTTCATTACACAAAAAATAATTGAATTTTATAAAATTTAATATAAATCATTCATGAATAAAAACATCAACATACATAGCCATGGTTGAAATATAATCATTAACCTTGTGGTTTTCTTTAGGTATTGTTGCGGTTTAGTAATTATGGTAGTATGAATTTTTTTTATGTGGTCGATTTTGGATGTTAAATATGTTGTTATGTAGTGTCGTGATTAGATGGTTAGTTGTAATTGTAATCAAATTAAAATTTGATTATAAATATTACTATGCAAATGCTCTTTTTTCGCTCAACTTATTAACAATTTTAATGGTAGATCATGGTTGGTGTGCAATTCTTTGGAATGAAGGTATTATTTCAGTATGATAGTAGTTAATGATTTTTTAATGGATGATTAGATGTTCTGAAATGAAATTATGACATAATTTTCAAAGTTATCAAGATAATGAAGGGTTTTTTTTTCTTGTAGTATAATTATTTTAGCAAATTTTGTGTTGCTCTTCTTATAATTGTTTTAAATTTGTTGGGTCATTTGGAGCAATATGGTACTATAAGATTTATAATCATTTGTTATTTTTTGGTACTACACTTACCACAATTATTTTCCACTTTTTGATCCACCCTTTATAAGATATGGATATTGTACTATTGTTAAATGGTTTTTGAAATATAAAGATCAATAAAATAGAGATGTGATTTATTTTCTCTTGAATGTATATTTTGGAATGGAATTCATTTTTTATTGGCTGAAATTTTATAAAAGCATTGTTCTCTTGTTGTTATGTTTTTAAATTATATTCATTCCTACCAAGTTTTTATTTATTTTCTTTTTAAGTATAGAGGATAAATTTGTTGGATCACTTGATGAATATTTATGGAACTCTATAATAATAAACTGAACTTCTTCTATATTTTGTATAACAACTCAAACTCTTAATTATCGAGATACTGTTCGCTTTGGCCTAAGAGCCTCACATTCTTTTCATGTTTGTATAACTTCCCAGTAGGTCACCCATCGCATAATTGATCTAGAATGAGCACGATTAACTGTAGTGTTTCTTATAGCTAGAAATTTCAACCATTACACCATAAGGTGCATCGATGTTTAAGAGTTTAGTTTCTTTTACTTAAGGGGTTTCATAATCTCCCTCACTAAAGTAATTGACGTCCTCGTCAGCATCTATATCCCAAAATCATCCACCAGGCATATAAGATTCTAGAAGTAGCTCCTACAAGCTCAAGTGGCGGCTCCCGTTTTTTAGCACCTTGTCTCATACAAGGTTCAAGAGGTGTCTCCCATGGTGTAGCACCTTGCTTTGTACGACACTTAGTTCTCATCTTTCGGCTGGTGTATTGCTCTGATATCATTTGTAACAACCCAAAATCTTAACTATCAATTTATTGTCCGCATTGGCCTAAGAGTCTCGCAATTTTATCTTGTTGTTGTAACTTCCCATGAATCACAGCCCGAACACCAGAAAATGGGTAGGTCACCCATCCCAGAATTGCTATGGGATGAGCATGCTTAATTGCAAAGTTTCTTACAAAAATTTCAGCAATTACACCAAAAGTCGTCTCGATGTTTAAGAGTTTACCTTTTTTTACGTAAGGGGTTTCACATTTTATTTGTTATGTCACAAAAGCATAATTGTATGAGTTTTTATTTACATTGATTGTTATTGACACTTATTTTTCATTGTTATTATTATACTCATTATATATTTTGAAGTTCTGAAATAATTTTAACTAAATATGTATTGAGAGATTTTGGATGCAAAAAATTTATATTTAGGTGCTTAAAGATATAAGAGTTGGATGAAAGTATTGTTCATGTAATTTTTTAGAGGAAAAAAAAATGTAATTTTTTAGAGGTATATCTAAAATTTGTGTATGATTGAAGTATTAAATTGACCATTAATTCTATTGCACCCAAGAATATGTTATTTGTTGCATATAATATAAAATTTGTAATATCTTTTATGTTGTTATATTTTTATGATTTTTTTTTTGCATTATTATATTCAATATTAATTAGATAACTATGAATCAAATGACTATGGGTGAAGCTTTTTTAGGAATAATTATAAGATAAATTTAGTTAAGAAATGAAAAGATTAGATTAACTTTTTGGCCAAATAAGAGACTTAATTTTAAAATGAACTACAAATCTCCATCAACAAATCTTTTATTATGTCAACCATTACTTTTTTATCATATTTTTATAAACAAAATAAATTTAGAATTTTTAATAAATTTATCATAGAAATAAAGTCAATAATATAACTACTAAGCTTTCAATCACAATCATTTAATTCTCCAATTGCAATGGAATGAATGAGGAATGATAATTAATAAAATTAACTTCTAATTAATAATAGTTAATGCAATATATTTATTAGTTATAGTTTAATTAAAAAAATTAATATCTATAGTAATATAAGTAATAATTATAATAATTTAAAGTTATTAGTTTTTTTTTAATAATGATAACATAATATAAATATTTTTAATATGAATTTTATTTTTAAATTTTTATTCGTGTGCATTTAAACCATATACAATAAAACTAGCATATACCAAAAGTCACTCAGAAAAAAAAAAAAAAAAAAAAAAAAAAAAAAAAAAAAAAAAATCATCCATCCATACATCCACCAATACATATACAAATGGAAGTGAAGAAGTATGCCTGAATCCTGAACAGAGCCATGGAGAAATTCTAATCATCAACATCAAATGCCAATGCCTGCTGTTGATGTTGATGTTGCTCCTTGTTCGCCAGCAGGCTTGCTTGCCGGATCTCCTCAATCCTCACTACCACTGCAGACATCGTCGGCCGCTGGTCGGGAATCTGCGCCGTACAGTCTACCCCAAGCTGCAGCATCTGCACCATCTCTTCCTCCCCGTTCTGATACCTCAACAGCTCCATATCAAATACCTCAGTCATCCACTCTTCATGAATGACCGACTGTACCCACCGTGGCAGATCAACACCACCTTCATTAAGGATTGCTTGGGCTGGAGCCTTGCCAGTAATTAGCTCAAGGAGGAGCACGCCAAAACTGTAGACATCGGCCTTCTGAGAAACCCTTTGAGTGTCGGTGACCTCTGGCGCACGGTAACCAGCAAATCGATTCGATACGATAGAGTTGCCGGCGAGATGAGCAAGGCAGTGGTCGGCGACTCGGACCTCGGAGGAGCTGGCAAGGAGAACGTTGGAGGACTTGATGTTGCCATGTGAGGCTGTGAGACTGGTAGAGTGAATGTGCTCGATGCCACGGGCAGCAGCCAAGGCAATGCTGGTTCTAATCTCCCAGTTGAGAGGGCTGCGGCCAGATCCTCGGTTCCCTGTATCAGTGATTGATACAAGATAAGAAAAAAGAACAAATTTTGATCCCGGTGATGATTCTTTAAGCTATTCTTCTGAGATCATGTGAAGAAAGATTAAATTATGATCAGCGGATAACTCTCAAATATTAAACAATTCAAGATAGTCTAAACATAGACATCAAGAAGTTATTTAACTCATTAACTGCGAAGGTAAATGTGAAAGAGTTGCAGGTGGGGCAGATGGAATGTATGATCTCGCCCTGAATTATTTATTTGCCCAAAATATTGAAGGCATTTCATGAAAGGGCTACTAGAAATAATTCTAACAAATTTGAATGCACAAATGTAAGAATCCAAAATATTTTAATCCTTATTACATGATAAATAGGAGAAAGAAAATAGTTTAGCCAATATAAAAAGAAAAACAATATATTTTGATCCACACACAAGCAATTCGTAACCAATGAACATATCAGATGCGCAGAATTAAAGTAAAATAGTAAATTCAGCACAAGAAACCAAGAAGAAGAAGAGGAGCTTACCATGGAGGATGGAAGAAAGGCTTCCCATTGGCATGTAAGCATACACCAAAAGCTTCTCATTCCTGCTGAAGTAATAAGCAAGGAGAGGAACAAGGTTGGGGTGGTCCATTGCGCCGATGGCCTCAATCTTCTTACTGAATTCCTCCGACGACATATTGACATCCTTGAGTCGCTTCACAGCAACCACTAATCCCATCTCCAACACCACCTTGTATGCAGTTCCAAACGTTCCCTTTCCTAAAACCTCTGCAGACGCCCTAAGCAAATCCCCTAGATCGAAAACTCTAGGCCCATCACCAAAAAATACCAACTGCTTCTGAGACTCTAAAGCAGCAGGCGCAACAGCGGCGGCAGCTTTAGCAGGCCTGCCATCCGCTCGAAAGCCATTCTCCATTTTTTTATCTCCAAGAGCAACTTCCACCTCAAATGGCTTCGCATCGCCGGTCTTCCTTTTCCTCCGGCAAAGCAGAAACAGAACACCGAAGATGATAAGAAACACAGCAAGTGAGCCAATAGCAATCCCCGCAATGGCACCCCCGGAAAGCTTGCTACCACTTGAATCCCCGCCGGGACAAGCGCTAAGCGGCTCACCACAGAGCGGCATATCCAAAAAAGCGTCCGCCGGCATGCCACGGAGCTTCGAAGGCACGGATCCATTAAGCCGATTGAAGGATACGTTGAACTGTATGAGGTTGGGAAGATCGAGTTCCGGGATCTGACCAATAAGTTGGTTTCTCTCAAGGTAGAGCGTTCCGAGTCGCGTTAGGTTATTGAGCGCCAGCGGAATCTCACCGGAGAAGCTGTTGTCGGCGAGGTTGAGGTGTACAAGGGCAGTGAGAGAAGGGAGAAACTCCGGTATATCACCAAAGAAGCGGTTTCCATGTAGGTATAGATTCCGGAGCTGGGTACATCTGGAGAGGTCGGATGGGAGGGGGCTGGAGAGAGCATTGAAGCGGAGGGAGAGGGTTTGGAGGTCTGAGAGGTTACCTAGCGTTCCGGCGGGAATTTGGCCAATGAGACCGGAGGCAGGGAGGTGGAGGGAGGTGACGCGGTCTCCGGTGCAGATTACGCCAGGCCACTTGCACAACGAGACAGAGGTGTTCCAGGGGAGTGCAAGTCGTCCGACGGCGTTGCGGAACGCCATAAGGGCGGCAGCGTCGGCAACGCTATCCGCTGCAGTCGGGGATACGTAAGTGTGGAAGAGGAGGAGCAGGAGGAGGAGGAGAAGGACAGTTGAAAACATTGAGCAGCGAGCAGAACTCATCGCTTCCGCCGTTAAACCATAAAACACCAATCTCCCAGCTGAGGGAGGAGGAAGTAAAGCATTTTAGAAGGGAAAATTGATTTTATAGTTTATACTATTAATTATACAAACTATCTAAATATTCACATTGTTTATTTAAAAAAAAAACACACACACATCTAAAATTTTCTTATATTTTTGAACTATTTTCATTGGGCTTCTATAGAATTTGAAATTGAATTTAAACATGTTCTAATTTAAATTAATTTAAAATTATTCGAATATGATTCACATATTGAACTATTATTTGAATCTTAATTATTTGAACTCGATAGTTTGTCGAGAGTTTGTGTAGGAGTAGGACTAAGGGTGTATGATAGGATTACTGGAGTTACTGCAGGATATGGGTGTCAAATTAAGTTTTTGGGTCGTGTTTGTCCAACATGAAATTTACCCACTCTTAATATGTTTGACACAAACTCGACCCATTTATCTAAATGGGTTAAAATCTCAGATTCAAATCCGACCATTTACCAACTGGATCCAACACGACATGACCCGCTATCTTGAAACTAAAGCTGTGAACGAACTTTGCCTCCTTTAACGGCGACGGGTCATGGGAGCTCGCCTGATGCGACAATAAGCATCTTTCTCCCATTTCGTGCGCTTCTGCGGTCAATTCTAATATATTCATCTGATGGAAGTTGCATTTCTCTTCATCTTCTTCGGTGTACGATGTTCCATTTCATGTCTCAAAAGTCACGACATCTCGACGATCTTCTTTGCCTCCTTCAGTCCACGACAACGGGAGCTCACTCGATGCTACATTAGTAATCTTTCTCCCATTAATTGTGCGTGCTTTTTTGACCAAATCTGAGTTAACTCTGAGTTGGCAGGTTGATCTAAATCCGACATGTTTATTAAACAGGTCGAATTTATTATTCGAACTTGACTCGTTTATTAAGTGGGTTGAATTTTCGGACTCATACTTGATTTGTTTATTAAACGGATCAACTCAAATCTAAAACTTCAGGGTTGGATTGGCAAGTCGGGCCAAATTTTGACACACTATTACAGGAGTTCAACAAGAGCTTATCAAAGGCAACAATCGAGAGGACTAATAAGGGCAACATCAACATGGCCAATGACATTCGATAGAGAAGAGGAGTTCAAACGGAAGCTCATCAGGAGTCGCAATCTGCATGACCATGGTGTTTGAATGAGAAGATAGGTTCATGTAGGAGATTTCTCAACAAGATAAGTGGCATTTGCAGGAGAGGGAGAATAAGTGTAGGAGATCATTAAGTCATGCATCAATGAGATCAACAACTTGTGAAAAGAATAGGAGTTCATGAGGAGAGATTGTGGAGGGCATGTGACTATCAGATACATGAAGACATGGAGTGTGAACGATAACGGAAGCTCATGACTTGTGCCCGATATAGGCATGACTTGTGCCCGATATAGGCAACAATCAATTAGATTGATAGTGTTGAAGGAGAAGAAGAATCCGCATATATATATAGGAGCTCGCTAGGCATGCATCAAGGGATAAATGGCATGTAAAGAGAAAAAGGAGTTTGTAATGGGGCACTCATTGGGGGCGAGTCTTGGCAAGATTTAGGTAATGATAAAGTTCTTGACAGGGGATTCACAAGAATGAACCAGAGGGAAGAAGGAAAGGAAATGGTCTATTACAGTACGGATGGCTGTTATATATAGCCATTTAGAAACAAGAAAACATTAGAGCACCTAATACAATTATTATTCCCTAATACGTTTACAATGGCATATCAGTAAATAGCACTTATATAATGGTTTTAATTGAGATGTGAATCAAATTTAATTAAAATCAATTTGAACAAATCTCAAACGGCTTGTAAGTCTAACGAGCATTCTACGAATGTATGAATCTATTCCTCATTGAGGATAATTTATTCGAACAACTTTTTTATGTATTTATCTCTAACAAAACAAATAATGAAAATATTTGATCAGTTATATATATTATCAGGTATATTAGATCAAAATTTTCCTATAAAAACCCACTCAATAAAAAGATAAGCACTACTCGAGGAAAAGAAAACTATCTAAGAATTTATTTCAGGAAGAACTCCATATACAGTTTTTAATGGATAAAAAATTTTAAATTTATCTAAATAAAATTTAAGAAAATAAAATCCTTCCCTTTATTTTACTGTATCCTTGAATATTTTTTCCACACTTTTCTCTTTTATGTTATTTTTCTAGATAAAATATATCAAATAATAATAACATTTAACTCATCTTGGCCAAACTCTATTTCTTAACATCAAAAAAATAATATTTTATATATATTCTCTCTCACTTTTTTATATTTATTTTTAATCATAATTTTATGTTTATCAATTTTTCAAATTGGGCTTAAAACTTTTTTTAAACAAAAAATAAATCTTACTAACATAGGTATATATTAAATAAAATAAAAATTACATTAGAATACATAAATTAAATAATGTATTTATAAATAAAAAATATTTTAAAATTTTAAAATGAATAACCTAATGTAAGAAAATTAATTATATAAAAAATAATGTATTTATACATCCGAATGTTGTGATACTGAGTGTCGTTGCCGGTATCGAGTAGCGAGTAGTATTAAGCTGTGGTACATTAAAAAAGTGATGTGGTGCAATTGTATTGTTCTCTGGACGTCGTTCGGTGTCCTCACATAATAACTTTCTAAACTTTGTTTGTTAAGAATTTTGACTATCAATTAAAAGATCTTTGATTTAAATGTTACGGATATGATGTATATAAAAATTTGACTTAATTGATCTAAATATAAAATAAATAAATAAAATTCATTTTACATGAGCTTAAATTTCATTTTTTTTATAATTAAAATCACCGTGTAAACTCCAATGATCAAAATCAAAATGAGCGATTTAGCAAAAAAAAAAAAAATCAAAATGTTCAAAGCAGCATCAAATTCTCTATTGGGGGACTAACATGACAAAATTTGATAAAATTACTCCAATCCCTTCATTATACTTGTGTTTGAGACTACCTTTGTCTATGATCGTTAGATTTGTTGGGATCATCTTCGAAAAGCTCTTCCGATGAGAATACTCATTGAGCTTATGGATCACAACAAAAGTTTTGATGATTGAGAGTACTTTGTTGAACAAAATCTAAAGATGTAAGCTTCTTAAAGCATTTGCTGACTTTTATGGATCTCAAATTTGCGATTTGTTTGGAGCATTTGATAGTTATAGGTTGGTTGACATCAAAAATATATATAGATATTGATGATGTTTTATATTTATTTTTTTACTAAATTTCTTTCATACAAGCTTCATGTTGTTGTTGCTGCTACTGCTCTTCGGAAGATAAATAAATTGATACATATTTTTTCATACCAACATTGAGAGCTTTTACCCCAAATCAATTGATACCAATTTTTTTTACTAAAATATTCATTGATGCATGTTTACCCCAAATCATAAATATATGTTCACCATTAACATGATGTCCGACAATGTTAATCTTCCAACACGCATTATCATCTTTGAGCAACACGCATTAACCAGCAACATTAAACATGCATTGAGCAACAACTCTTCACAACAACTATAAATTGACTTCTACTCTCAACCAACATTATTGGTTGACCAGAGTTCATCAATATCAAACTCCTAGCCATTCTAACTTCATTTTTTAACACCGCCAATTAATATGTTATACTTCAAAAGAGCAAAGCAAAAATATGATAATTTAAAGCTAATAATGACTTTGATTACTAACTAAGATATTTTAAATATAAAGCTTATTTATATAATACGTGTGATTTTACTTTAATAGCTCCAACATTTCAAAAAAACTTTTAATCTCTAATATATATGTATATATTATTTATTTATTTATTTTTCGACATCTAGATCAATTAAGACAAATTCACACACACAACGCATATACATAGACTCGAATCTTAAACCTTTTAGTTTGAAGCCTAAGTTCTCAACCAATAGATAATGGAGTATTTAGTTTTCTTTGAAGGAGGCGTGAGTTACGCTTCAGCTGGTGTTGGTAACGGTACGGAACCGCCTCGTTCCACGGGATAGTGACGGCGACGGGACGAACCTAGCGATCGTTTGTTGTGATTTGCTACTTCATTTGGCGCGACGGTCCAATTGGAATGGGGCCCACACCAGCTGTAAATAAATATGAGGAGAGCGGTTGGGCCAATTTAATTGATCTTTAGTAGTTTGGGGTCCATGGATGATGATATATTTTAATTTAATATAATAATGATAAATTTAAAATATTTAAATTTATTTTAAAATAAATATATAAATAATTTATTTTTATTGTTTTAATATAAATGTTTGATTTGTAGAGTATATTCTGATAAAAAATTTTATCAGTGTAATTCAGTCATAATTAAAACCTGTTGATCTCCTACAACAAATTTATTAAGCTCTGCTCATAATTCGAGCATAAATATTTTGATGCAGCCTAAAAGATAGCTGCTTATTTAATTCAGGATTTGATTGGAACAAATTTTTTAAAATTTTTAAAAACAACTTTCTAGTATAAAAATTTTAATTTTTTAACTATAAAGTCATTTTAAGAAACAGTAAAAAAGCTATGACAAATAAGCTTTAATCTTTCAATTAAGGTGATTATAATTTGGATTAGATTAAGGGTCTATATGTGATTATTTTTTCGCAACTTTATTTTTTAGACAACAATTACAATTTCATTTGAACATTGATATATTATTGTTTTGACGCTACTTTTTACGAATTTCTACTATAGAAAGCTATATTTTATAATAAGTATAACTAAGCTTGATACGTCAAGCGAAAATTAACTTGATCGTGCACGAATCTCGATGCAAAAATCAAGTTGGAAACTTCAAAAATTAAATCTGGGAGCACCTGAACTCCGATTTCAGCGAGCTTATAGTCAAACTGAGCGTCTCGAACAACTTTATGTATGACTTCATGAAATGGTGTAGCCATTTCAAGCAAATTCTAAGTTGATTATGATTTTTGTAGCACTTTTGTCA